GTTACAGGCACAGATGCCTGGGGCACCAATCTGAATCTACCAACATCCACGGCCACATGAACACAAATGCACAGAGTCTCCTCTGCGATCAGGAGCTAAGGATGTTAGGCCATGATTGGACGAGGATGGGAGATGAACTGATAACTACAGATTCTGTAGGCTTTTGTTGTCTCTTCCCACCCCCCAGCAACAAGTGATGAACACACACACACACACACACACACACATATACACCCCTCATAGTGACTAACAGGATCTCCCTCTAGGCGATTTGTAGAGAGGGGAGCAGAAAACATCCCAGGGGCCTTTCACAGCTACTTCCTTGAGCCCCCTTTCAGACAGTGCTGTCTAGGCCTGTCTCAGCCCAAGCACCACTACCCTGATATACAGAAGCTGGCATCCGTACCTGAAATTCAACATCAGGAAATGATCTCTTCTACTTAACACTGATGGAAATATCTCCAAGCAACGACCTTATTCGCAGGGGTGGAGTGGGGGAAGTTTCTTAAAAAGTGAGGCCTCTGCCCACCACCTAGAGAACCTGGAAATTTCCATCTACACGACAAAGTCCAAATCACTGGCCACTGCCCCAGTGTATGGCAGATTAGAACATCTCCCCATTAGATCTGGGTTTCTATTCCATTGAATGAAATGGCTTTTCTATTACAGGGACAGAATAAGGGATCAAAAGGATCTTACAACTGAACTCCAGTGTACAGTCTGCACAGACACTAGGCTTGTGCAAATATGACACAGCCAGGCCCCAGGACCCTTAAGCCAGCTGAATATACTGAGTTTCAGGAAACAGTGAATACATTCAGCAAAACAGTGGGCTTTATGCTGAAAGAAAACACACATCACACACACACACACACACACACACACACACACACCCCTACTGGCCAATAGGTCTTCTCACCAAAAACTTGCGATCAGGAGAGCAGAAAGCCTCCCAGAGGTCCATCACTGCACTTTCTGGAGCCCCTTATCAGACGGCCAGCTCCAGGACAGCACTGTCTTATCCTGGTCCATCCTGTCTTATCCTGGTCTTATCTGTCTTCAGTAGAGACAGGGTTTCTCCATGTTGGCGAGGCTGGTCTTGAACTCCCAGCTTCAGGTGATCCGTCCACTTCGGCCTCCCAAAGTGCTGGGATTACAGGCGGGAGCCACCACTCCCGGCCCCTTTTCATGTCCTAACATCAGTCAACACTCATATTTTAAAATAATAACAATGAACAGTGGTACCTTAGAACTAGGGAATTATACATCTTCCTCTTGTCCTGATCCTGGTGCAGGCAGTTTGTCTATAAAATGTTACTCACAGATGAATTCATGAGAACATTACTGTAACTTTCAAATCCATATACAAGTCAATGCTCATTCAGGAATATTTCAATAAAATAAAACTAATAGCAAAATAGAATCCCAGGGTTGAAGCAGTTTCAGGAAAGAGGAGTTGGCAGTATGATGTAAAATAGCAAAAAAATGTTTTTTTTTTTTTTAAAAAAAAGGGTATATTTGTGTCTGCAAGGTTTTATTTAATTATAGCATTAGATAATGTGTATATATATACACACACATACACATATATAAAGCAATGGAAGTGGCATTGTTTTTATTCTAGTCTAGAATATTAAATTATGTATAATGTGGTCAGCAAAATAATGGCCCCCCAAAGATGTCCACAGATTCCTAGAACCTTACATGAAAATGGTACATCATACATGTAATTAAGGTAAAGACCTTGACATGAGGAGACTACCCTGGTGCTATGGAAGGAACGTTGTGTTCCATCAATGTTCCTGTGTTAAAATCCTAACCCTCAAGGTGATCGTATTAGGAGGTTAAGCCTTACAGGAGACTCTGCCCTCATGTCTGGGATTAGCACCCTTATTAAAAGCACAAGGGAGCTTGTTTGTTCCTCTCATCATGTGAAGACACAGCAAGAAGGAAGCCTCTATGAGAAAGCAGACCTTCTCCAGACACCGAAACTGCCGGCACCTTGATCTTGCACTTGTCAACCTCCAGGACTGTGAGAAACAAAGTTCTGTTGTTTATAAGCTGCCCGGTCTAGTGCATTTCCTTATAGCAGCCTGTATGGATTAGGACAGTGGGCTCATGTGGATGAGGATGGCGTCTCCATTCAGGACTAAGTAAGCACATGAGTCCTTAACAGTGGAAGGAAGGGGGAAGGAAAGAGCCACAGAGACATGTGGCCATAGAAGAAGGGTCCATGAGATGCAAGGATGCTAATGGTGAGAGTGGAGAAGAGCCCAAAGCCAAAAAATGCAGGAAGACTCCAGAATGTGGAAAAGGCAAGAAAAAAGATTCTCCCCTAGAGCCTCTAGAGATGAAGGTAGCCTTTCCACCACCTAGATTTTAGCCCAGTGAGATCCACATCAGACTCTGACATACAGGAGTATAAATTTGTTTTATGCCCTCACAGTCCATTGTTGTAGCAACAATGGATTAGTAACGTATAAATATATATATATATACACACACACACACAAAATACTCCCCCCACACACACAGAACTACATACATCCCGCCCTTCAAAACTGAAGCAGATAAACTACACGTTAGCATTAGCTGGGTGTGGTGATGCACGCCTGTACTCCCAGCTACTCAGGACGCTGAGAGGGAGGATCACTTGAGCCCAGGAGTTTAAGACCAGCCTGGGCAACACACTGAGGCCACATTTCAAAAACAAACAAACAATAACACAACAAACCTTTGATTAAGCTCATTTCCCAAATTTGAAGAGGAGACAATTATTAGATAAAGAAGAGAAAAGAGAAAGGTAGAGCTGCTGACTTCTGTGGTGGAAGCACAGGCACAGACCCAAACATACTCCTGTCCTCCTGGCTTTCCTGTCCCTTCTTATAAGGGACACATGAACCTCTCAAACTGAAGCATGGATCACAGACCCACACTCAGAACTCAATGCAGTTTTGTTCTATGATTTTTTATACATCCGTGTCCTTGTCTCTGCCTCCCGTTCCCAACTCCCTTATTCTAGTTAGAAAAAAATGGCTATTACCAAATATGAGTACATCTTCGTGTACTAATGCCAACTGATCACTAGCTGGTTTTCTTCTTTTACAAAGTCATAAATCTTTAGGCTTTAACGCATCTTCCAAGCAACAGAATGTTATTTTCCGGTTCATTAACACAAATTCTATATTTAAAATGAAGACTTCACAAGTTGATTTCAATAATATATTAACCAAAATAGACTGGCCATGGTTCAAACTAACATTTTAATTAAATGTGACGATAGTTTGAGTAACCTAGCAGTACTCTAACATGACTTTTGGTTATGGCTTTTTCCATATTATGTTTAGGCTGAGGCATACCTAAATGATTCCATTGTAATTCCCCTTAAACATGAGATTTATCCTTACAAAATAATTTATTTTCTTAAAATTACAAGCTAATTCTATAGTTCATGCTACATAATCTCACTAGATATCAGCTGTATGTGTACACACACATATATATATGTATTTGTATATAAACACATTACATAATTTTTTAAAAAACTTAGTAGGGTACGACCAAGAAGACGAAGAGGCTTTGTGTAATGTGATAGAAACACAATTGCAGGACAAACAGGCTGCTGTGAGGGTGGTATTTACCGTTGCTGCTGTAAAACTTGGAAAAACATAGATAGTGGATATTTAATCCCCATAACAGAAAATTTAGGATGCAAAAAACTTCCCACAATTTTTACAGAGAATATCAATAGAAAGGCATTCAATGCAGGGAATACACAGTGTGACACTATACAAAAATAAGGAGGTTGATGGTTTAGATTTATGAGACAAGAGACAGAAATAGTACATGATGTCATAATTATCCTTTTACGGAGTTATGAAAATTCTTTATTTTACATATGGTCAGGTGCTTTCAAATGTCAATGAGAAAAATATTTAAAGGAAGAATCAAATCTAAGACATGGAGAGATCTTTATAAAAATGACCTTCAGGCCAGGCACGGTGGCTCACACCTGTAATCCCAACAGTTTGGGAGGCCAAGGCGGGTGGATCACAAGGTCGGGGATCCAGACCATCCTGGCCAACATGGTGAAACCTCGTCTCTACTAAAATACAAAAAAATAGCAGGGAGTGGTGGCATATGCCTGTAGTCCCAACTACTCAGGAGGCTGAGGCAGGAGAATTGCTTGAACCCGGGAGGCAGAGGTTGCAGTGAGCTGAGAGCACCATTGCACTCTAGCCTGGTGACAGAGCAAGACTCCATCTCAAAAAAAAAAAAAATTACCTTCATTCTGAGAAGGTATAATCATCAACACATTCTTGAGCACAGATATGCACACATGCACTTCCGCATTCACAAGCCATGCTGCGTGCACACACTGAGGCCCCTAGATTCCTTCTTTGAAGAGATGGTGTCTTGGTGTGTCACCCAGGCTAGAGAGCAGTGTTAGGATCACAGTTCACTGCAGCCTCAAACTCCTGGGTTCAAGTGATCCTCCTACCTCAGGCTCCTGAGTAGCCTGAACTACAGGAATGAGCCACCATGCCCAGCCGATGTTTTCATTTTTTGTAGAGATGAAATCTTGCTATGTTGCCCAGGCTGGTCTTGAACTCCTGGCCTCAAGGAATCCTCCTGCCTTGCCCTCCCAACGTGCTGAGATTACAGATGTGAACCATTGTGCCCAGCCACCGGATTCTTTATTAAGAAGGAAATTTGTTTGCTGACATGTAGACAATGAATTCATAAACAATAGTTCATAAGTTACTAATTTACAAGTCAATATAAATCAGGTGAGTAAACACAAAAATAACAGCATAAATTAATAAACAGTTGATGACTTCAAGTTTCTTTTTTTCCTTTAAAATGTAACTCTGACAGAGACTACTACTTGTCCATTCCATGGAACAGTCAGAGGTGGTTAAAATCTCAGAGGTACACTTATTAATACCTTGCTGCCTTCTGCTTAGCTTCTTCTCAGTACTTCACCAGTTGGGACTGACTCATCTCTTCAGCTGGGTTCAGGAGCCAGACAGGAGCACACAGAACTGGAAATCCAAAGCCATCTCTGACACTAAAAGCAATGAAAACATAAATAACCAAACATATTATCAAGAAACGAAGAAGAGATTGATATCAAGTCCAGCAAGAAGAGAAGAAAGCATTAAATCTGCCAGGCTTTCATTCTGACAAAATAATTTACAACATGCATGTCTCTATCTGACATGTGTGAATAGAAAAAGAACCCAAATACCCGGTTAATTGCAAGACGAAAATGAAAAAGAACTCTTGCTTATTCACCAGTGTACAATCGAATCTGGGCTACTAAAACACTTTCATGCACTGATTCTCTCAATGCAACACACGCTTTATTGCCATTTGGAAATGGGATTTCTTGCTTTGATTTAAATACACTTCCTTTGATTTCTTACTTTAAGTATACTTTCTTAACATATTCACAGCTATATTCTCGATACAAATTTTCAGGTGTAAGTAACTACTTCTGCTTTTGATAAACAGATAGTATAACTGGTGAAATAGGTACACTCCCACGCAAAGGTGAGAGTACAAGGTAAGACTCCAGAGTCGAGTAAAACATAACGGTCAAGAAAAAAAAAGGTGAGAGTAATTGGGCAGTGGGGAAATCTTGTGTGTGGAAAGAATGAATCTGGAAAACTGTTCTTCCTTAAGAGTTCAGCAGGATTTGGATGATAGAGAGCTTTGCGTACAAGGGTTCCAGTTCCACATAGCTTAGGTCTAATTTCAAAGGCAACTTCTAGTGCAACCTGTGACTCACCCTGTCCTAAAGTGCCATCTATAAAGGGTCTGGAGATAACCCACAGGCAGCACTGTGAACCCCTGACAGCCCTTCCAGATAAATACCAGGTCAGTGTCTACAGCTGATGACACAGAGCAGAAGATCTGAAAAATAATACTTCTTCAGTCAACGGACTGCCAGTCACTATTATTTAGTGTAAAATACTATATTACATATGTGTAATTTTTTAAATTGCAGTGTTTCACATTGAAGCAATTAAATATAAAAACAAAATGTTTATTCAGCTTAAAAGCAACTTAGAAATACTGATGCCAGATAGAAAGATGCTTTAGCCCCAAGTCAGCTGTTTGGAAATGTCACAACTAAACCAAAAAAGGGATCTTGAGGCATAATAAGCGTTCACACATTTCCAGCTATACCTCTGCTTGTCTTGAATATGAAAACCTAAGCTGCAGTTATGCCACAGCACAGAATATGTTATATTTTACATCACTGAGCCTTAGTTCACAAATGGTAAAACATAGGGAAGGTAAACTGTAAGGTTTTCTTAAGGAGCTGTTACATCCAACAGACTCATGAAAATCTTTGCCAAATGTCCCCGGTACATAGCTCCTCCCCACTGATGGGCTCAACAGGGAGAAGCTATGCACATGTCTCAACTTTCATATGCTCAATGGCAATACAGGATTCCTAGGATAAAGTAAGGGATATAAATGACACAGCACACTGAAAGGACTGTAATGTTACTTCAGAGTGCTGCAAAATATAGATCACAGATGAAAGTGTTAGTTCATTGAAGGATGTAATCATGTATATTTCAATAGTGTGTTTTAAAGTCTTATACTGCTTACATTCTTATGTGGGAAAATATATCTTGTTTGTGCTTTATGGATGAAATGTGAACAGACAAAACTAAAAATAACTTTACAACCCAAATCACCAGATGTTAATGGCTGGTAATTCAACCAGAAATCTGAACGATAGCATCTATTTCATTGTGATACCAAATATCAGTGACCAGGAAAATTTTATTTGTGGTATTTAAGTGTAGGCCTCTGGAACAAATGACTTGGTTCACAGGCAGCACGCCCACTGCTGAACTGCCACGGCCTGACAGTCTGTCTCATCTGCCCAACTGCTCATTAGGTTTAGCAATCTTCACCTGTGCCTCCAGCTTACATTTCAGCAGGTAATACACATCAGTCGGCTTTTATTGTCTTCTGCAGTGAGCTTCCAACACTCCTTTAGCAGTACGGTGCCCCTGCATCTGCAATCCTCCAAACACACCTTGTATACATGTCATTATTTTTCAACTGTCAATTCAGCTTCCAACGTTGAAGGCTAGCTTAGCTTAAATAAAGCAAAAATACAAGACAGAGAATATGCAGTCAGTCCTGCATTGTAGGCTGACCAATCATTTACTTTTTTAACATTAAAAAAGAATACATTAACCATACAAATTTAATATTTAAATACAGATTTCAGAGTGTATTTTGGCATGGGGCACAGGTGACAATAGAGCAGAGGATTCCTCTCCCAATTGTCTCTGACCTATCCAACCTTTGTTACAGGTCAGAGAGTTCTCCAGTCTATAAATAAACAACAGAGATAATGTGGCAACCAAGACACAGAGACATACTGAGAGTACTGCTCAGCTCTCTGCCTAGGCCTGATTCTGCTGATCCCTGACAATGAGCGCTGTGAAATTTCGAGGGAGATCAATACACACACACACAAATACACAAAAGAGATACTTCACGGGCAAAAAGCACCAAAGATATAAAACAAAATGTCTGAAAGACCATAAGATAACTTCTGATGAAATGCTGTTTTCATTTTGCAGAAGTAAAATATTCACCACCAACCCTACAATTAGCTTAAAAATTACAGTAAGTATAGTAATTTTGGATCCCATCTCCAATTCATACCTTATCAACATGTAATAATCACACTGCATCTAAAACAAAGCTGGATAGACTTTATATGCTGAATACAACTTGTACAGTAAGAAGGTAATTTTTTGAAATACTGAGCATACAACATATGTATGCCACGCTCTACTTCACAAGTTAAAAGAAAATACAATCATTTCTATTCTCAAAATGTATTGAAATAAAATACAGAAAAGAGTATTTTAATACCAGTTAACATTAAGAGAATATATCTCTAAACCAAAGATCTTGGATCTTCTAGAAAGACAAAATCAACCTGCATATACTTGGGTAAGAAAAAAAAATTAAGAGATCAAGAAAGGAGAGAGGATGTTAGCATAGAATCATCTCCAAAAAGGGCTTTCTGACGCATTTGACCAGTTTTAAAGTCCATTTGTTTTTCCTCCTTTAGTATCAACAGCCTATATTACCAAGGAAATGCAAAATAATTCAATTTGTACATTAACCAGAAAATCTAGAAATGGCAATATAGTCAATGAAAATACAAAGTAATAGAAAAACGTCAAGGAATTGTTTAAGATGTTTAAGATTATATAGCGTAGGGAAAAAAATGATCTGATAAACACTGGAAGAGTTAAACTTAGGCATGGTTCCCTAACACCACACTTCAAATGAATTTATAGAGAGAATAAAGGAATAATCCTTTAAAAAATATCTCATTTTAGAAAAAAAATTGCTCAACAGGGAAGTTAGTGTTTTTTAAATCTTTTGGAAAGCTGATTAATTTCTAAGCTAAAAACACATGATCCTTAAGAGAAATGGCTGAGTCCAGGCCCAAGGCAGAAAGAGGGCAACATGAGCCTGGATCCTCTTGTTCTGTCAGAAAGTAAGAAATGCTCAAAGACTAACAGAGACAGTTGAGAGGACATAGGAGACAGGCTGAAGGCTCCCGTGGCTGAACCTGGGACAGCACAGGCATCAGAAAGAACAATGACAGTGATGGAAAATAACCTACGGAATAAAATGCAAGTGCATTAGTCAGCAGTGATACCAAAATAAAGAGGAAAAGTGAAAGCTCTTTGTCAAAAATGCCAGGTAACAAATGTAGGAGGAATGATAGAGGAAGAACATCCATTTTAAGTCACCAGTGCCATAACTGATAGAGAAGATTATCAGGAGGCTAAAATCACTGGATAAAAGAAAACCATAAGAAGCTATTTAACATAGCATGATATATACAAGTACAAAACCATAAATTAGACAAAATGAAAAATCGTACCATAAGAGATGGATAAGTTAGAATACAGCAATTATAGGCCAGGCATAGTGGCTCACACCTGTAATCGCAGGACTTTGGGAGGCCAAGGTGGAAGGATTCCTTGAGCCCAGGAGTTCAAGACCAGCCTAGGCAACATAGTGAGAACTCGTCCCTAGAACAAAATTTAAAAAAAATTAGCCAGGACTGGTGGTGCACTCCTGTAGTCCCAGTTACTTGTGAGGCTGAAGCGGGAGGATCACTTGGGCCTGGGAGTTCAAGGCTGCAGTGAGCCAAGATCACACTACTGCACTCCAGCCTGGGAGACCAAGTGAGACCTTATCCCAAAACAAAAACAAAAAAAACCCACAATAACAAAAAAACACCGGTAACAACAAAATGACAACTACATAAAGACTGTATAGAAAACAAAATGTTCATAATATAGAAATAAAATTATGTATTTTAACTGTAACTATATTAGAAGAGAGTATTCTTGTAGACAAGGATGACTAGAAAGATACGCAAAATGAAAACAGCCAATAACACTCTTTATGTCAAGCACTGAGGTAGGTAGTTTATGCACACTGTAACAAATTACATACTAGATTATCTCAAAACTTTTAGATAAATTTTACTGGGCATCATAAATCGATACAACAAAACCAATGTTTTACAAACACCCACTATGTATAAAGGTATACAAATTTCTAAGCCAGGCTGAAAAATAATTCATATAAGCTATACATCAGTGGAAACCTACCCATGGGAGATAATACAACATAATCTAAATAAAACTTTCAGAGACAAGGCATGTGGCTTCTGGACAGCCACAAACTCCCTAACTCTGCTCTAGTGTTTTGGCCACGAAACGAAAGCCAAGTGGCCTCAGATCTCTTAAAAAACAGAAAAGCAACCTATGGAAGATGGCGTGGTATTTGAGGAATATTTGGGGTCTGTTGAAAAACGCATTCTGTATTTTATTTCAAGAAAAGGTCCCCTCGTAATGTCAGGTAAGTGAAGAGCCCTCAGAGACACATGCACACACAAAGAAAAACAAAACAACATAGAGTGAATCCCACCAAAATGTGTTACGATGGCAGAATTATGGGTGATATGATCTTCTGTAATATATCTTTTCATTAAAAATAGAAAAAAAGCAGACTTACCCTTGATTATCTATAGCCTCTGACCCAAGTGGCTTGGAATCAGAAAACAGCGTCACCCGACTTGAAGCCACCTTGGCATCAATGGTGGAGTGGGTGGAGATAAGACTCGACCAGCTCATGGGTGGGCTCCACCTCGTCCTGTCAAGACCACCAAGAAAGGGCACATGAGGAAAGCACAAAGATCCTGGAGAGACACTGGTTTCACTCAGTTCTCAAAATTATCATTCTCAAAATTATACATTTCCTGAAAACCTTTCTTAATGCCACAAAAACCAGAGAAGAAAATCCTTACAATAAACCTTGAAATGGATCCCCATCTCCATTAAACTTTTCCAAAGTTCAGGGAGAATATAACCTGATAACCTAAACACCTAGCTAGAAAAATCTCAGTTCCAATCCTACAACAATGCTAGCTTTTCTAACATTTTAAAATAACCCTGATTTTAACCCAATAAAATTCCATTTCAGAACTAAGAAATAAATATTGGAAATCCACTTCAAAATAAAGAATGAGGAGACCATTGTGAATGAGAAAAAGAAAAAGAAAAAACCAACGAGAGCTGGCGAGCACACTGGTTTTGTAGAAACGGAGATAAGCCGTGCAGGTGCCACACTGGCAGCAGGGCCTGCGCTGGGGCCACGGATCAAGGAGGCATGGAGGACAGGATGCTTCTGCTTGGTACAATGAAAACAAGGTATTCTTTTTATTCTACATATTTACAATATGCATTTGGGCCTTTATTATAAGAGAAAAATCTTCAATAAATAAAAATTGAGTATATTACATTTTTAGTTAAAAAATACATTCGGAAAGAATAATGAGTTCAGAGCAATGACCCCCGTCTCACCGATGCCTGAAAACCATGGCTGCACCAAGGTCAACATAGACAGCGTCTTTGTCATATAGCACACGCCCAACTCCAGAAAGAAGCGCATAAACCAGCTGCTCCTTCTCATTTAAACAGCACTTCTTTCGTTGTTCAGGAAGAGCGCAAGGGTCTGGGAGGAAACTGATGTCACTCATGGCAAAATCTCCTATCCCTGGAAGACAGGACCCAAAAAGCCAGCTTCAGCTGACAAGAAGTCAGTGAGTATCTACTGGTGACTTGGGGGATAAAAACGATACACAGTCCAAGGGTTTAAACCATGACCCTAAAGAAGGGCATCGTGCCACACTGCAACAGTGGCCCTCCAGCTACAAGACAAGAGGTCAGAGAAGAGGGGATTCGGTAACACCTTTGCAGGCCTACACATAGCTGGGTTACTTTTGAAACCTCCAGCAAGGCCATCTTCCCTTGTTGGGTCATTTTTCAGTTTTCCTGAGAAATGAAGTCATCCCAAGAATCCTATGTGTAATTCTAGTATGTTCTACAACAAGAGAATACCTGCCATGTGAATTTGGCTTTTACCTTTCAAGTGTGCTCCTCTTACATAACCATAAAGTGACACCTGCCAGTCACATTTCATGCTTGTTCGGATACCCTCTGGGTTTGTCAAATCTTCCATCCTAGAAAAATAAACTCAATCATACAGCAGAAATCAATGCCAAAAGTTCCTATACCTCCTTTCATGTGTCAATGACTCATCACACTCTTGTCCACTAAGCACGTCATTCAGAATACTAGAAAATGCAGAAACAAGGAAGCACCATTCACCATCCAGCGGAGGAAAAGGGACAGGCACACAACTGTGTCTCTAGGCTGAAAGTGACATTCATTCCATAAGACACCAGACAGGGAGATGACGTCCACCTGGGGTCAACAAAGAGTGAAGAACATATTCAAAAAATCCGTTTCTGGAAGAGGGTGAGCCTGTGCTCTGGGATTTCTACTGTGGTTTGGATTCTGGCAGGTGGAAAAAGGGTATTCCAGGCTGAGAAAACCACAGCACAAAGAAGAGCACAAAGGAAGGAAACTGAAGGCGCCCATGAAGGACTCAAGCACCTGGACACGAAGGCAGCATCACTGAAAACTGAGGATGAACGTAGGATGGGGCCACATCCTGTAGGCTTAAATGTTTCCAAGTCTTCCCATTCTCCTAAACATCTCATAATTAATTTACTTCCAAAGGCACAGCATCTTTAAGCAATGATATAAGTAGACATTTTCCATCAACTATACTTCTACCACCACTATGCAAATGGGCACAAAATAAATCCTATCACTGTTCTTTTTCTAGCCTTTTTAGCTTTGAAATATATGGCCTGGGAAGAAAAGGTTTATAATCACTTTTTACCTGTCTGCCAGGATATAAGGGTGAGAATTTTGCCATGTGAAAGGCCTAAACTTCATAACTGTAATAAAATGGCCTAGATTGTGGATTTCTTGGTTTTGTTATTCTCCAGGCATCATTCCAGAAAGGTAGAACAGTTTGGCACCCTAAACATTAAAGGAAAATTAAAAATTAAATTTCAATTAAGTTCTTATCAAAACTGCAACAAAATAAAAGCTCTAAACAAGAAGCAATCCTAAGAAGGGAGACTTCCAGCAAAACCACTGTCTTGAGGCTTCCAGAGCCTTGCTGGCTTCTTTCAGGACTTATTAGAACCCCACAGAGGCAGACTGCTCTGCAGCCGAGCAGGGGCATC